GGGGCGGCGGTGAACCCAGCTTCGCTGGCGCCCGGGCAGCCTCCCGCTGGTCCCCGGTGGTGCCCGGCCTGGCGCTGCCCGTGGGCCGGGGCCGGGCCGGCCGCTTGGGCTGCAGCCGGTGACACCTTGTCCTGCTGGCGAGGTGCCTCAGGACAGGTCCTGCCAGCCCGGCGGAGGAGGTTGGGACACTGCCCTCCCTCCGCGCGGGGGCCTGGAACTCTTAGGCAGTGTATGCGGTGGGGACAAAATATCTCTTTATCGGGGAAAAAAAGCAAATACGGCATTGGTGACTGTAGTTGTGTTGAGCGCGCTGTAAGCAGCGACGTTGAGCCCCAGCAGCCGGTGTTATTTCTCAGGGAGTCTCCCGTGTTACCACGCGTGCTCTGTCCCCATGCCGGGTGTCCGGGGTTGAACTGTCCTTTCGGAGGTGTGATACAATCACACTTCCTTTCCCAGAGGCCGTCGCCTATTGCTCGCCCACCCGCCGGCCTTCGCGGCGCTGCTTGCGCAAGGTGCCGCCGGAGCTTTGCTGTTGCCGTGTCGGGAAGCCTCTGTCTTTGGGAATGAAGCTCCTGTCACCTCAGACAGCAGCTTCCAAGAGGCTCTGCTGGCGTGGGAGGTGGTGGACAGGGCGAGTGGAAAGCCGGGAAGTGCCTCTCTCTTGGCAGTGAAGGGACAGAGCTTAGTGTATGTGCTTCAGGTGGACACCTTGTGTGCAGGGTGCTCTCACTCGGCAGAGAAGCTCAACTGAAATTCCAACTCTTAACACTCTTCATAGCAGGAAACCCAAATTGTTCTTAATTACCAGTCCTTCTGGCTTTCCCTCCCAGGCTTCTCCATCTCAGGGTGTACTGTGTGTTACATCTAATGTTTGTGTTTACTTTTACATTTTTTTCATTTTTATTGAAAATATTAAGGGTTGATAATGTGGGTAGCGCTCTCAACCCACAAAGCTTAATGTGGCCGTTGCACAGTGTACTTGTGTGACTGACAGTTTATCTGTAGCATCAGAAGAAGAATTCTGTGGGTTTTGGCCACATCTAGGTGTACACCTTTTCAGTGCTTTTGCCTGCTGCAGTTTCAATAGCTAACATGTTTTGGAGTGCTGTGAAAAAGAAAAGAAACCAAGCAATAGTTTTGTGAAGCTGACGTGTTCCTGAAGAGTGTGGCTCGTGGTTCCACGTGCTGCTGTTGCTGCTTGGTTGTTGGAAGCTGCTCTCTTGGAGGTGCTCAGCATTTGAAACCAAGAGTTGCTGGGCTCCTCCTGGGAGGTGGTTACCTGGAGCAGGGTGTGCCTGTCTGGAGCTGTTGTACAGTGGCACTCGAGTCAATTGCAGTTATCTGAGTTACTCTGATGTTACAATATTTGTGAACTATGGGGCATCTCTGAAGCCAAATTTGTAACCGGTGAGTATGCTTATATGTGGAGGAATACGTGGCACTAGGTCAGTTCAGATACCTTCAGCTGTCCTATGCAAAATCTGACTGAAAAATAATTATGGTAGAGCTAGCAAACAGAACAAAGGGGAAAATAGCAGAGAAGGCAGGTAAATGCGCTGGGCTGTGCCCAGGAGGAGCAGCTGATGCCATCACACACAGGTGCGGAAGGTTAACCCAGTGTGAGCTGGAGAGAGCTCCAGGCACCGCCTGCAGAGGAGCCCTTTCAGGGCAGTGTGAATCCTCTTGTGCCAAGGAGTTTGCAAGAAAGTCCTTTTTGGAAATGTGTGTGACTACTGCATTGTATTTCCTTTTCACCTGTTGGCCCTCTGTGTGGTCTTGGGAAGCTGCAGTTTAGACTTCTATAGCTTTTCCTTTATTTGTTAAAGGTCATATTAAAGAAATCAGCACTGAAAAGGCACAGATCCATTCATGACACTAGAGGGGAAGGAAATGTAGCAAGTTCCATGTTCTGTAGTTAATTCAGTGTTAGATTTTAAGTGGATCAGGACACACAAGCTCAATTTAAAAAAACAATTTCAGACTGTAGCAGTGGTTGTATGCTCTGGAGGGTTAAGGTCTGTTCACATCAAACAGTTCAGAGCTGACGTGTGTTCTGGGTCCCATATCTGATGGGTTCCTAGGGTTCGTTCCTCCCAGCAAGAAGTGCATCTGTAGCTGTTTGTTACAGAACAATTAGCAAGGGCAATTAAATCATGTGAGCAAGGATTTGTATGAAATCTATTAAAAGGCAGTGTTCTGCTCCTTCCCAGTGCTCTTGTTGACTAGGGGGTTGTGCAGCTGGCATATTTGTTTAATAAAAGCGTCAGATCATAACATGTTTAAATATAGGACACTTTGAGGAAAGGGTGCAACCATTTAAATAACTAATTCTTAACTGAAACAGTGCAGAGAAGCCAGGTGATGGTAACGGACAAGCTCTCTCTCTAGAAGCCCCCAGTGCTGCTGCCCTCAGAGCTCCTGGGGCAGCTTGAGCTAGAGGTGTGGGAGAGGGGCTAGAGCAGCAGCAGCTTTGCTCTAACAGCTCTGCTAAGGAGCTGAGAGGGTCCCATGTTGTTGCCCTCCTGAAGCCTCAGGTCATGGCTTGAAACAGCCACAGTAAAACAGTTGGAAAAAAAATGCTTGGGAGTGGGCAGTTTTTTCCCCCACTTTTCCTGAAAACAGGTTTTGTGCTTGCCTCTCATCACTAAAGACTGTTTGCTAACTTCTGCACACAGACTGGTATTCAGGGTCTTGCCTGTAGCCTGCGATCACAAGCCTGATTACAGAGCATATGCTCGGTCAGTGTTTTCTAAAAGAGCTTCTGCAATCAGCATGTTTGTTTTACCAGTTTTGTATGTGAGGAAGCAGCACAGAAATCTGTGTCAGCCTCTTCTTGACAGAGGCTATGGGAGGAAGCAAGGGTTGGCAGGCTGATGAGTATTTATCAGATGGAGAGAAGATAATTGGGGTGGGGGGAAATAGTGTTGCTGGGGGGGAGTTACCTGACTGTAGTTTAACTGAAATCCTCTGTGGCTTGGAGAATTGGGGAACCTCTGCTTTTAAGCAGGCCAGGGGCTCCTTGTGCCCTATGGCAGTGGCACTCACACTACTGAACTGCTGACTGCGCTTAAGCTGAATTAAACCTCTGGAGTAGGTGTCTGCATGACTAGGGGTATTGGTGGGCCCTGGGTTTGGCAGATTCTCGGCTTGGTAGCCAGGTCCAGGACTAGTTGTGGACGCTATACTGTGTCAGAGCTGGTAATGTCTGGTGGTGATGCTGACACAGACACCAGCACAGTCCTAGCTCCACAGCTAGAGAGCTGCTCGCCTGTTGATCTGAACCCATTTGTGGGCATTTGATTCCCTTGGCAAAATAAATGATGGGGATTTTATTCTTGCCCTTAAACTGAAGGAGAGGATACTGGCAGGAGGGGGCTCTTCATGGCTGTTTCATGCTTTGCAGAAAATGCTCTGAAGGCAAACTGGACTGTGCCTGTGGGAACTATATTTGTCCGAAAAAATATTCCTTCACCCAAAGGCCTGTTTGTTGTCAAGGGGGAACCTCTGCAACGGCCCAACTCTGCAAGTGATGGGCTCGGAGAACAGCGCTTTAAAGAGCTATGCGCTAGAAGAGCCACCGTTCACGCTGCCAACTGGACACACAATTTATCCAGCCGTGCTACAAGATGGCAAACTTGCTTCAGTCTTTGTGTACAAGCGAGAGAACGAAGATAAGGTTAATAAAGCTGCCAAGGTACTGTAGAGAATGTGCTTGGGACAGACCTGTCAGAGCTGTCCCTCCTTTGTCTTGGAGGGGTGGGAATCAGTTAATGAGGGCCAAACCCTTGGGGAGTAAGGGCGGGAGAAAAGGTCGAAGTTGACCCCGGCTGCCAACACCCTCCATGCAGGGGGAGAAAGGGGCAGCTGCGAAGCTCATCAGGCACTGCACGGTGTGAGCAGTGGTGGGAAGCAATGTTCAGATAGCAATACCTGCATTCCTTTGCAGAGCCTTGGTCTCTTCCTGCAGATACAAGTCAGAGAGTCTTCCTTGGGTGGATCCTACCCAAAATACCATGTTTATTCTGTGTAAGACTTTGTATCTAGACATGTTATAAAAAGTTCTGCAGTGAGTGAGTGAGTGTGCCTAGTGCTTGGTGAGGAGCAGGGATGGGCTGTCTAAATTCAAGTAGAAAACATGGCTAAAAGTACAAGGCTAAGCTCTGCAGCCAAAAGAGATGCCTTTGGATGAGATTTAACAGATGTCTTTGTTCCTGGAAGCACCTGAAAACCTTGCGCCACCCTTGCCTTCTGCGCTTCCTCTCTTGTACTGTGGAAGCAAATGGAATCCACCTGGTTACAGAACGTGTGAAGCCTTTGGAGGTGGTCCTGGAGACGCTCTCTTCTGCAGAAATCTGTGCAGGGATCTACGACGTGTTGCTGGCACTCATCTTCCTCCACGACAGGGTAGGTACCACTGGCAGCATTCATCAGGCTTTGGTGGGAGCCAGACCAAATGTGACAGGGGAGTGTCGTACCTGGGCTTGCCTGGGTGACTGTCTCATTCCTAATTCCTTGCAGACAGACATATAACCCACAATTCTTCTAGGCTGAAACTGCTAAAATAATTGGCTGCATTGCAGGAGGAAGGGTAATTGAAAATGCTGTGGGTTTTGGAAGTTAGGGAGCAGTTCTCAATTCATGAATTGACATCTGCTTGCAGTGCTGCTCATGTTAGGGAAATGGGATTGCTAGGCCTTGGCATTTATTATTTACAGCTGTTGCCACATGTCGCAGATCGGTGTCACCTCTCCCCTGTTTTGGCACTGCGTGGTTGTCCAGGACTGCAGTTAAATCCCAGCTTAGACTGTAGCTTTTGGGCTTTGTGTTCATAGTTGGAGGTCTTCTCTGGATTTAAGTCATATTGCAAGGGCTGTGACAGTTACAGCTTTGTCTGCTCTAAAGCCCTAGCCCTTCTGCCTGACACCTGCTAGTCGCCTACAAAATCCCGAAGGACCTTTGGAATTGTGTGCTTTTTGGCAGCTTTTCCTCAGCACTCAGTGCTGATGACAATTTTAAATCTTCATCTATCCCTGAGTCTGTTATCCTTTTTTTTTTTTTTTTTTTTTTTTTTGGTATGTTTTAGGGAAACCTAACACATAACAATGTCTGTTTATCATCCGTGTTTGTAAGTGAGGATGGGCACTGGAAGCTGGGAGGAATGGAAACAGTGTGTAACTTTGAAGAAGCCACCCCGGAGGTAAGAGCCAAACAAAGTGCACTCTGATGCCCAGGAGAGGGCTCCTGGCTGCCTATGGAAGCTGGCCACCTATGGATGTGAAGGCCCAAGTCCTTCCAGTTATCTGAATTTACTGTTAAGTGTGTTGGCTCACTTCCAGCTCTGACCTGAATCTTTGCTCCAAGGACTGTAACTATAAACTACGATGTCTACACAAACAGAAATTACCCATTAGCCAAAAAGCAGCTACTTTTCTAAGGGAGTCTGTGAGTTGGAGGGTAGGTTAAGACTGGTGAGAGTGAAAAAACTTTGCTCCTCTGGACTGATTTAAAAACAAACTAAAAAAAAAAAAAAAAAAAAAAAAAAAAAAAAAAAGCCTTCCATGTGAAGCAGAAAGATCTGGGCTGAAATGAATCAACAAGGAAAATAATTTGACTCCTTAGCTTTTGCTGCTGGCATCATCATTGCTTGTTACTGGTTTTAGCAGAAAAATTGGTGGTTTGATTTCTGCTGCGTGCTGTGCAGTCATTGCTGCAGCCTGGCACCATGTTGTAAATGTCTATCGCCTTTTCTCCCAGAGGATCCGCAAATCCTTCACAAACTATACTGAGCATCCCTGGCGTGTATCACCATTCAGAAGGGATCAGGTGGATGTGCAACTGGTGTGCGTGGTGGTGCACAACAATGCAAAGAGCATGGCAGTCAAACTGACTGCTAAAGCTCGAGGCAGCTCATGTGTCCCCTCTTCTCCTTCCAGTTCCTCTGTCATGTCAGGTCGGTACGAGACCAGTCGTGCGTCCCTTGCGAGGAGATGGTGAGTGACATCGCTTGCTGGAGGTGCTTATTGCTGGCAGCAAATAAAAGTGTGATATTCGGGGACTAGTTTTCATTCCCATGTTTTATTTCCTTATGCCTGAATGGGAGGAAGTGGCTATTGGAAAATACCTGAGGTTTACATTCTTCCTTTCCCTCCCCTTCCCCCCGCCCCGTTCCGTCCCATCCGTGGTTTGGGAATGGTGTGGGGGGCACAGGGAAATGAAATTCTGAATGAGGAGTGACAGGACAGCAGGTTCTCATAATATTTTTCAAACACTTGGTGTTGCCGCTTTAATGCTTCTAAATCACCAAAGCTTTGCAAGAATTACTTAGTTGCTGAGGCTGCCCAGATCACTGTGGTTACATGGTCTTGTAGCTCTTGTAACAGCCTTTGTTTCCCTTGTTAGTCACTCCCATCCATTAAGCATCCTATGAATTACTTATGCTAAAGGAACGTTCTTCCTCTCTCTTAATTATCACCTGTTTCCATAGAAAGGCTGAAAGCTGTTGACCTGCAGTTGCTGTGTGCATTCATCGGGGAATTGTTTTGTCATGATGTAGCTGCTCCTTTGGGTTATAACTTCCCCAGTGGAGGTTTTTTAGCATTTTATTCTACTTGTAGAGTACTTAATGGAGCTTTGCTGCTATAAAAAGAATTGGAGAGTGTATATGGTGGGGACAGGAATAGACTCATGGAAACTACCAAGTATTTTATAAACTCCTGCTTTGCTGATCTTTTTGATTTTATTTTCAGTCTGCAGATTTCAAAATTCTGCCCAGCGGCTATGGGCATGCGAGGGATGCCTACGCATTTGGAACAATGGTTGAAAACCTCCTGCCAGTCCTAAACGATCAGGGTGAGGAATGGCGTGTGTTTATTTTGCTGTCAACAGGCCTCAGTAGCTTATTCCTTGTGCATCGAGCTGTTTGCCTTTTGTTGCAGCAGGCAGATGTGCTACAGGTTCGGTGGCCATTGTTGTTCCTTGTGCTTGCTAAGCTAAAATGCAGACTTTGGCTTTTCTGGTATTCCCCTTTTTCTGCATTTGAAGGTGGTCCAGATCTGGATGGAGGTTACAAGCTCTCCCAGATCTGCTCCACAGTGCTTAGAGGCTCACTTGGTCCTGCCCCACTAACTGTCTCATCGAGGGTTATGGATGTGGGTGCGCTGTGCCACAGCTGAGCAGGGGCCGCCCCCTTCTCGAAGGGAGGGAGAAGGAGGTGTCTTGGGAGGACAGTAGCACTCCCTGGTGCCCCAATAGCCGAGCAACTTAGAATGAAAATGTTATTTTTCCTTCCTTTAGGGACAGATGTGAGCAATTTTGCTATCAACTAGAGCTAAAAATAAGTTTTGGGGAGAGTGGAGGATTCCTGAAGGTAGCTTATTCAGTCTTGAGAGAGAAATGTAACTGTACGTGCTCTGGATTTCAGTTTCAGCAGATATTCTCTCCAGCTTTCAGCAAACCTTGCACTGTACCCTGCTGAATCCAGATCCAAAGTGTCGTGCACCACTGTCCAGCTTATTGTCTCATGAGTTCTTCAGGTAAGGAAGAGAATATCCTGCCTCTCTTGGTATGTCTTGATACTGCTTATTTCTGTGTTGCAAATATGTTCATTTTGTGAAGGTGTATTACTTACCAGGTGGAAGTGTGGACTTAATCCCTACCCCTTACAGAGATCTTTGTCAAAGAGATTCCCTAAATTAAGAAAGCATTATCAGCTTTCCAGATGAGGTACTGAGCTGGCAGTGGTGACAGAAGTGTGTCCTTTAGTCACACGCAGTCAGTTGGATCTCCCCAAGCTCATGGGAGGTGGTGGGAAATGCTCTAGAAAAGAAAATCATTAGTAATGCCACTGGAGCAAAGCAGGCTCCAAGATAATCCACACCGAGTTGTGTCCACTGTCACCTGGGTGCCTCTCTGGGTGGTGGCTTTAGGGCAGGGTGGCACTTTGTCCTTCTTATCTCACCAAAGGTTGTCAGAGGTGGCTGATGCAGCGCTGCCCAGGTCTCCTTGTGATTTCCTGACTTTACAGTGCAGCACTGTGCGTGTACAACTTTTGGGTAACTGGTCACCCCCCGGGCTGGAGTTTGTGTTCCACCGGCATTTGACTTGTGTCCCTCTGGTTCTCCCTGCTAAGTGAAGGACAGGGATTTGCAGTTTCTTAGTTGTGGGTGGTTTAAGCATCAATAAGGATCACACTTGACAGCCTGCATTTTTGTGCTTAGGAATGATTTTCTGGAAGTTGTGAATTTTCTGAAGACCTTAACAGTTAAGTCTGAGGAGGAAAAAACTGAATTTTTCAAGTAAGTGGAAAAAAAAATCTGGAAGCTTTTAATTTCAGCAGTACTTATGCCACATGGGACTTGGGGGGAACTGGGAAGGCTTGTGGCCAGAGAGGTGGCTCCTCAGGTGGCAGATTTTGATTGCTTTGGCAGAACGTTGTTTGCTCTGTGTTATTTTGGGTACTGCAGCCAAAGTAATGGTCACATCAGAGAGGAAACTCTTCACTCCCTCCTCTCCTGGTTTCTTGTGAATGGGTTGGTGTTGGGGAGGAGCCTGCTGGGCTCTGCACCGTTCTGATACTTGCCAGCCTCCGGAGTGAGGCCGTGCAGAGCTGTACAGACAGCAGTGCTTTCACCTGCTACAGGCCAATTGCTGTCACTGGAGAAACAGTCAGGGACCAGACTGTAGTGCCATGTGTCACTTCAGGATGCTTTTCTGAATCCCATCTGGTTGCTAGCAGCTGGGTTGAACTCTGCAGAGCCAAGAACAGAAGCTTGGCATCAAGAACAGGAGTACGGGGATATGAAAAGGAAATGATTTTTCTATTGTCCATGTGCTAATGGAGTTAATGCACTTTGTGGGGCATAATGCTGATGTTATTAGCAGAAGTTAAATTATTCAGGTTTTCTTCACCCTGCTTTAGCAGCACTGTCCCACTGCACCATGCTAAGCAGGAATCACATGAAAAGCCCGTTCCTGTGCTGTAGCATGGCCTAACCGCTTGTCTGCTCAAGCTCTGGCAAACAGCTCCTCACTGGAGCTGCCCTGGGCTCCTCTTGCTTCACACACATGCTATCTGCTTGCCCCATTTCAAAATATTCTAAAATATGAGAGCTTCTTTTAATGTGCTAGAAAGAATCTTTCCCTTGCCTCATTCTTCATTCTTAGGTTTATTTTAGATGTGACTTTGCAGAAAGGGAAATCTAGCACCAGGCACCTCTTGAGGCTGAAATTTTTTTCCATTTAGGCAGATCTTGTAAACTGCTAGTGAGTTTTCAGTGACATGTGTTGGGTGAATTAATCTTGTGGTGCCAGCCCTGTCTGGGTGAAGCTGCTGTCTGTAGAGGGTGTCTCGACTGCAGTAGTACTGTCTCTGCAGAAAATCCTATTGTCATGGCCCCAAAGATGTTTTCTGTAAGGGAAGCTTCTGTGTAGTCATGGCATTATCTGGGCCTGGGATAGGGAGAAGCCAATTTGTTTGTTTGTTTGTTTTTTTTTCTCCATATAAAATAGTTTGGGTGTTCTTACAGAGCTATTGTCCTGCCTGTTTTATACTTCTGTGGTCACCAGCATGTAACACTAATTTGATTTCACTAGTTTGAGACTAAGTGGAGGAGAAAGGGGATCTTAGCAGGAGCATTCCAAATGGTTCCCCCTGTCTCTGTAACAGCAGTGTTTACTGAGGGAGGGAATGAACACTTTGCTTAAAGATACAGCAGTGTTGCCCCTTTATCAGGCAGAGAGGCTGTTCTGTGTTATCTTTGCTTGAAAGCTGCAGGCAGGAGCTGAGGCTTTCAGGCATGCATGCTAACCTAGGAGGATGCCGAGTGGGAGGATGTGATGGGACAGTGATACTAAGGGAAACAGTCATAAATGCATGGAAGGCTGCCTTGATGCTGACTGCTCTCTCCTGAACGCAGATTCCTGCTGGACAGGGTGGCCAGCTTGTCAGAGGAGCTGATAGCGTCACGGCTGGTGCCTCTTCTACTCAATCAGCTCGTGTTTGCAGAACCTGTAGCTGTCAAGAGTTTTCTTCCTCATCTGCTGGGTCCAAAGAAAGGTGACCTTTAAATACTTTCTCTCTTCACAATTATTACTGACAAGTTTGGAATGAATTCAGAGTAGTTGTTCCACTGAATCAAGGGAATAGTGGTCTTTAACCAGAACAAATGCTGTAGCATACAGAACTGGAAAGGACAGTTAGGTGTGCTTCCGTGTTTGCAGCACTCTCCCCAGCTCTGCTGATGCTGGGAGAATTAGGAATTGCCTGGGCTTCACATGTCACCCCACCCTGCAGCCCAGGCTTTTGAGTGGCTCACTGCCTACCCCTCTTTTCACTTTGCCCCTACCCTGCCAGCCTTTTTTTATTCTGCCACTGCACTCATTCTCCTGTAAGGGTACTCAGTCTCTCCTCTGGGAGGTGTTCAGCATGGCTTGCTGGATCCCCAGCTCTCTGTCCCTGCTGTTGGTCTCCCCTTTTAGAAGTGTTTCTGAGATAGCCACTGGTGTTTCAGCCAAGCAGCAGCTGCCTTGTGACTGACCTTCAGTGCTCAGAGCCCTTGCCCATGCACAGTGGACACCAACACTGCTGCCTCCCTGACTCCCAAGCAAGCTGTGGGGACAGCTGACAGGGAGTCAGACCTGGCGGTGGGGTGACACTGTAGATCTCAGCTGGGATGGTTTCTCCATGTGTGGCTTTTGGGTGAGCTGTCTCTTGTTGAAGCAGCCTTTTCCCATCTTCACCTCTCTTCCCTAGAGCAAACTGGAGAAAGCCAGACCAGCTGCCTCCTGTCACCGGCCTTGTTCCAGACACATGTCATTCCTGTGCTGCTGAAGCTATTTGAGGTTCATGAGGAGCATGTTCGAATGGTGCTGCTGTCTCACATTCATGCCTACGCAGAACTGTTCTCTCGGGAAGAGTTGAAAAACATCATCTTGCCACAGGTTAAGGACAGCGAAACTATACGCACTATATCCTAGAATCTGGGATTTGTGCTGCTTGGGTTGGTTCTTTGCTTAAAGTTAGAGCCTCGTAGTGCTAGCCACAGACAGTTTGTAACCTCCTTTCTATGCAAGCACTAATACACCCTGTCCTGATCTGGAGTGCTGGTTTTGTTAAACCCTGTCACAGGCACCACTTGCACCAATACCTGTTGGCCTTGACCTCCTAGCAAGAGGCTGTTTCTGTTTCACACCACAGCTGTTGAGGGGGAGGAGTGAGCAGTTCCAGCTTGGGGTGCCTTGGCCTTGGGGTCCGGTGCTCACCAGGCACTGGGATTGGCCACCCTCCTCAGCTTATGGTACAAAGTGCAAGGCCGACTTTATGCTATGGAACAATGTCCAGTATCTACTGAGAGCTGTGGGAGATCATAGAAATGAAATGTGCTGCAACTATAACATTTAAAGGGGGAAGAAGTGAAAAAGCAGTTCTTAGTAATGTTACAATGTTCTTGGTGTAGGTATTGCTGGGCCTTCGAGATACCAGCGACTCTATCGTTGCAATAACACTGCACAGCTTAGCAGTTCTCGTCTCCCTCCTTGGACCTGAAGTAGTTGTAGGGGGAGAACGAACGAAGATTTTCAAAAGCTCTGCACCAAGTTTCATGAAAACTGCTGATCTCTCCCCAGAAGGTAAATGATAAAGTCAGAGTGTGCTCAGGATTCTTACCCATTCTGTCCAAGCAGCATAGGCAGGATTTCTTGGATGATTAATCTGTTGCTGTTGACATGTCAGAATTGAAGTTTAGTTTTTTTCTATTAAATTAGGTACTGTTTGCAGATACAGAAATTATATCAGAAGAAGCATTATACAGAAGTATTTTAAATGTAGGAAATACATGAAAAAAAGTTTAAATCTTATCTTCATTTAAGAACCTCTACAAGTAAAGGAGATTAAGTGTGTGTGTTTGGTGCAAAAACTATACTGCCCTTCTAAAGGATGCATGTACTTATCCAGATAGTTGTTTAATATTCCCTCTGTCCTTCATGTTTTTAAAAATAGTAAATCTCATCCTCTTTCCCTGATTTCTATTCATAGATTGGAAAAGGAATACAAACTTCCCTATTTTCTCAGCTCTCAGGAGGCTTTTCAGCTAATCCAAACGAAGACAGTAGTCCCTGCATGTGCTAGATCACTTGGAATCAACAAGCGTACTAAGGGAAAGCTTTTCTGGATATTGAAACTGAGCATGCTTATAACTGGAAGGAACAATCAGCATTTGTTTTACTTCAGACATATAGCTACTAAAAGAAACGCATGATTCTCTGTGTACTGACAGCTACCCCCCTTTATTAAAATCTGTGGATGGCTCATTGCATTATTTTTCTCTACATTATTTTAGTAGACCGTAGTAAATAAACCCCTTTGGGTTGCATGCTAAAACCAGATGTTTTTCAGGATATATTTTAAATTACACCTGATTTAACTATTGACAAACAAAAAAAACCCCACCTTTGTCCTTGTGACAGACAACCTGCAAAAAACAGTACCAGAAGTTGAACATGTGAGGCTTAATAAGCTGTTTGTATGAGCCCCTGAAAGGACATACCTTTTCTTGAGGGCCCTTTGGGGTGCTGTGTGCTCACTGCCGGCCTTTCTGGGGCCCCAGGCTGTGCATCTCTGCACTGGTAACACTGAGCCTCGGTGGGCCCGGCTGGCTGGCAGCACTGCTGGAAGCCATGGTAGCGCTGGCCCAAGCCACGCTGTCCTGGGGTGGTGGCAACAGGGCCTTGCCCAGCTGAGGCCAGGGAATCACCACCTCAATTCCCCAAAATGAACAGGAACACCTGCCAAGCTGTCATGGCTGTCCCAGGGGACCCAACAGGCCCTGTGCAGTGCCAAAGCATGGCATTGATCACCTGCCACCTCACCTCAGGTTGGTACAAGGGGCTGCCTCCAGACTCCTGGTCCTGGAAGCAGCTTTGCTTGTGCCCAGGCATCAGAGATGGTTTGTGTAGTGGTGTGAGCTTGCTTATGCTTTGAAGCGTTGTGACTACCAGTGCTGTGTTTTTGTACGAGGCAGGTAACGGGGGATCTGTGATGCCAGGCGATACAGGAGCTGGGGTTTTGCATCCAGCCAGGGGGCTGACAGCAGTTTTTAAGCATCTGTTCTGATCACAATCAGTTTGTTCATTGTGTACTTCCTGAAAGAATGTATCAGCAGAAACTGCCCATTTACAGTTGCCCAAACTTTGTCCTGGCAAGAGCTGCAGCTGGCAGGAACAGAGGAGTACTGTGTGACGTGCAGCTGTTGGATTGCTGCGCCAGTGTTGCAAATAACAGCGTTCCAATGCTGCGGGTAGCTTCAACTAAGACTGACAACACACCTTCTGGACTTTCTGTCCTTTTTTTTGTCCCTGCAGAGTCCCCCAGTCATGTTTTAAGCAATCGGAGAAATCAAACCTCTCGGCCCTTGAAGAACAATTCTAGTCTGTTCCCCATCTCTGGTAGCATGCCTGTCAAGAAGACTTCTGTGCGACAAGACAATCCACTGGCTTTAAAGACAGGTAAAACTTTGCTCTGGCTCTTCCTTTCTAGAAATTAAGTGTCCTACAAATGAAATGTTGCTGGAAAAGACGTTAATTTTCCCCATGTGCTGATCTGAAAGAGATTGGGTCAAACAAGGAAGATAACAGTGAATGAACAAGAGCATGACCCTTGACTTCCTAGGAAACATTTATTTGAGAATCTGACAGGCACAGACTGCTGGCCAGCCTTGGATTTGTTTCCTTACAGCATGTTCTCTGCTGTACTCTTTCAGCCCTCCCCCAGCTTGGCAGATACACTAGACTTCTAGATTCTCTGGCCTCAGAATCTGACTCAGTTTACTTCTGTGGCCTTCTTTCAGTCACCTGTTGCTCATCAACAGTCAGCTTTTATTGCCTCAGGGCTCCGAGATGAACACCCCTCCTTTGCAAGCAGGAGGGCAGATGTGCTTTCTAACAGGCGAGGAGCTTAGCGCTAAGCATCTTTGCAGCCAGTGTTACAGCTTATTTCCATGCCAGGTGGTACCTGTGCTGCTGAAGAGTTGAAAGGCATAACTCCAGCTCTACTCTTGCTCTCTTGAAATAAGGCTGTAACACCACCTTTGTCTTCCACAGGAGAGCAAGACACTCAGTCCCCGCTGAATGGGATTCCAGGAAGCATAACTACGCTCGGGAGCAGCAGGAGCTCCTTGACTACCTCCGAAAAGGCAGCAGAGGAGTGGCCAGACTGGAGTGAGCCAGAGGAGACAGACACTGAGAAAACTGTGAACATTCAAATTCAGCCCCAAGAGCCACAGGGCAGCATGGAACCGTATTTTGCTGAACACGATGTAGATGAGAAGCCTTGGGATGATGTTGAGCCCAGCAGCCCTAGTCCTGAACTGTCCTCAGGAAACTGCCTCACTGTGACACAAGCTGATGCAGTTGAAATGCTAAGGTCTCTGCCAGGTACCCATCAACTGAGCAAAGAATTCAGAAGCCTCAGACCGAGTCCCCCCACAAAGTCCTGCCCTGGCAACAGCTGGAGCAATGACAAGTGGGACCACCAGGAACAACTGGGAGAAACTGTGCTGCCAAAAATGACCTTTCAGGAGAGGTCAAAGTCTTCATCGGAGTCTGGCCTAGGAGAAGAATTCACAATCAAAGTGAAGAGGAAACCTGTGCAAGACCCTGAGCTGGACTGGTTTGCTGACATGATCCCAGACATTAAGCCTCCTTCAGCTATCTTGATTTTACCTGAAGCAAGGACAGAAGTGGTTGTTCCCAGTCACTCTGGTGTTGCATCCAGCAGAGAAGGTGCCTCCAAGAATGTGCCGTTTTCATCCAAATTTGCAGCAGCTGATGTCGTTGAGGTAAGAGGCTATAGACAGTGAGGTTTAAATGACTGCATGTTTGAGAGGATCCTAAGGCATGCACACAGCACAACACAGGGTTGTAGCAGCAGCCAGATGCTTCATCAGGGGGTGGATAACCTGAGAGGGATATCACAAAGACTCAACTGTACAGTTGTGTGCTAACTGCAGCCATAAAATGCTGAGCTCCGAGTGATGCATCTTGTCAGGCAGCAGGTAATGCAGCAGGCCCTTAACACACATCTCTTGCTACTGTAGTAGGAAACAGGGAGGGAATAGACTTAACTTGTACACTACTAAAGAGACTGAGGAGTTTTAACTCCAGCTTTTAATTTGTGCTGCTGTATCCAGGAAGCAAAGACCCTACACTATGTTAGGGAGAGTCATGGTTTGTCAGGCAGATAAAACAAGGCTGGATCCTGGCTGCTGAGCAGGTGTGGCCCCACACACAAACAGAACAAGGCTTTTGGGCACAGAGGATACTCAGGACTCAGTGTTGCTCCTGGCTCTTCTAGGAAAACCTAATAGTGTTGTAAATAAAGGACCAGGAAACTAGAACCTCTGGATTAAAGATTTTTGGGTGCTTTGTTTTCATGAAAACAGCTGAGACATTTCTCCATTTCAGAGAGCCAGGGGGGTTATAAAAGTGCCTTTGTAAATAAGCAGGAAAATCCCTGTAGCTCCCTCACAGAGACTCTGGAGGCAGCTTCTGTTTCCTAGGAGGGGAGGTAGCACTCCCATGCAACTCCATTAGGGAATAGTGTTGATTTCAAGTTGTTTTGCTAACTGAGCCCCAAGAGAGCTACCACAGGGGTAGCAGGTAGCACAGGAGCCTCAGCTTGTAAACTGAAGTTGTTTACAACATTTGAAAAAGACTGTTGTGTGACAAACACTGTTGTGATACCAACCTTGTGCTGAGGGGGGAGTCACTCTGCAGTGCTGCAGAGCAGCCGAAGAGCTGGGTCAGGGGACATTTGAGATCAAAGGTGTAGTGGTAGGATACAGCAGGACAACAGCTGTTTCCTATAGGGAAAGAAATCATCTACTTTATAGCATTCTGATCTTAATGGAAAAATTGTTTGGAACAAGCATTTAATTTTAGGAAAAAGTAAGATGCTCTTCAAGATGTTTCCTTTTAGTAGTTAAAAATTCATTAAGTCAGAAAGCTGCAAATACTGGCACTTCATTTTTAGTCTTATGAAGGGCTTTCAGCATTCTGGATGAATGTCTTGCTCTGTCATCACGAGATGCTCAAGCCTGGTTCCTGGGACTGTGCTAAGGATAGAAATATAGTACATGTGTCTTAATGCTGATAATTTTACATGATTCTAGGCTGAAGCTGCAGGCTGGGGTGAAGAAGGAGAGTTGAACTGGGAAGACGATGCTAACTGGTAATGAGACTGAAAGAGCCAAAGGCAACTTGGTGTGTTGGATTCTGTAAGAGAAGTCATTGCTTCCCCAATAAGTGGAAAGTGGATAAGTACCTCAGCACTGTTTTTGCCAGAAGGCAGGTGCTTGCTGCAGCAGCCAGCAAGATCCCATGGGGCCTGATCTCTTGCAATGGATGTTCCTTTCCAGTCTGTGCCAAAAACTGCAGGGGTGAGGCCTGCGCTCAAGCAATATGCCCAGCCGTGGTGCATGCCACTGCTGCCAGAAAGAGGAACAGCACAGTGTGGGTGCTGACGTGCTGCTGGAGGCCCAGCCTGGTGTAAGCTATTGTTCCAGAATTCATCCCTGCTCTGAAAAAAATGATGAGAATAAATGAAAGTCACACTCAGTTCCTTGGTTAATGTGCCTTTTTCTTTTTTTTTTTCCTTTTCTAGAAAGGTAAAGCCCTTAGAAATGTCTCTTTTTTAATCTAAGATGAATGTACAGTGTACCAAATTTATTTATTTCTGTTTATAGAGTTCTGTCAGTGGATGGCGCAAGAGGTGCTAGGAACCATGCAGTGAAGGACCACTGAACACAAACTGCTTAAGCACCATGTTCCTTCTGCTCTTAACTGTGACCAATAAAGATTATTTTTATAAGATGAGCCTAGTGGGGAGTGGAACCAGCAGCAGAGGTGTGTTCAGAGAAGAGTACAGAGCCTTAAATTATTAAGTGTATTTTAAAAAGATAAGAACACCTACTGCCTGGTCGCCTATACATGTAACAGGAACAAAGGTAACTTATTTCTACAACAGATTCAAACAGTATTCAAAATACAGTCTCATGAAATGTTTATCACCATACAGTAGCTTAGAAGAGCAAGCCATACATCAGCAATATAGAAAAATAACAGCTTAGATGCACAGTAGTGTCCATTAAAATAAATCAGTCTTTTCAGCCAGTTATTGTGAAAGACAGGCCAACATCTCACACCTCAGTTTGTTTTGGCACATTAACCGAGACCCAGCAGTACCCTATGTCACAGTTTTTTCTTCTCCAGCAATCATGGTACAAAGGCATCTCTTCCCTCAGACCAGGGTGCTGAGCTGTTTTATTGTCTCTACAACCTGTTGAGCACCTTACCGTACACTGTCTCTGAGGAGGGCTAGAGCTGTGTGTAGAGCCTCCAGTTTCACAGCAAGCCAGGTGGGGGGTGACCCTTTCCGGAGCAGCAGCTTCACAGCCTCCACTGCCCCCTCCATTGTGCCTACTGCTGACTTATACTGTTCCTCAGAGGGTGGGGGACATGCTCTTTTTGCCAGAGGCTGTGGATTTAAGTAAATATGAGACATTATTCATAATGCTCTACATTGGTGATTGGTCTTCATCCAAATGCAAGACCCTTAGAGGTGGAGAAAGAGCTGCAAGAGGCTCCCTTGCCTTGTGAGAGTTCTTGCAGGCTGGCAGGCAGCGCAGAGCATTCAGGTATAATATTAAAGGCCAGGACTGCATGCCACCTTTTTTCTTAGGACATGGAGGGCAGCAAGACCATCTTGAACCTCTTTAGCTACTTTCCAGAACTGACAGAAATCAACAATCAAGCCCAGTTAAGTGTGCATACCTCTCCTGTCGACTCCAGTTCTCTAGCTGTTTGCATAAACTGTGCACTGCAGGTAATTCTTTCTCGCTTCATACGTTCTGTTCGTGCTTCTGTTGTCTCTTCTACTTGCCTTGTCTAGGGAGAAAGCCACAGGAGAGGTAACTAAACCAGGGTGGTATTACCAGCCTTCATAGGCTCAGTGTGTGCCAGAACAAAGGGGAGTGAGGGAGAGATCTTAACATGCAGTTCAAAAATGCATCTCCTTCTCACACACTCTTCTGAGCAGGAGACTGAAGTTATCTACAGCTTTGATGTAGCACTGGCAGCTATCAGTTCTTTTGCTAATTATCTACTTGTCAAAAACTGCTCATCCAGACAGCCCTGCCCTAGGTTACAGCATGATAACCACCCCCTCCTTCCCACTGTCTTATGTTCTGCATGAATGGCCATCTGCTCTTAAGACAGTTTTTTCCTAACATGCAAAAACAACTAAGATGTTTCATACATGTTCATTTAGTTCTCAGAAACTGATCCAAGAGAAACAGAGAAGGAAATCACATAAACCAAATGATGAAATTCCTCTTTTTAGTAGGTTGCTTCTCTGTTTACACCAGTAACGGTGCAATTTAGTAAGTTTTTTTGCTCAAGTAGGAAAAAGTACTAGAGTACTTGGGAAGTACTAGAGGAACAGCATGCATAGGAATAGCAGTTGTTTAATCTGCAGATTAAAGCAAATAGAAAAGTTCAACCAGAGCCCAGTTAACAGAACAATTTATTTTAAATTTACTTACTGAATTGCCATGCAGATGATGTAGGTGTAGACAGAGGTTGTGTACTGCTTGTAATGAATGTGTACAACAACTAAGAGAGCAGTGAATGGCTAAACATCCTAATACATACCTTAGCCAGAAAACTAACAACTTTGGTTTTAGTTTCTTCAGAATTAAGGCACCGAGGAACAACATCTTCATGGCTTGTTTCCTGTCAAAAATGTCAAGTAATACTTATTTAGTGCATTCATATTAACAAAGGAATAGAAAAAGTAAAAAAATGTTTCTATGACAGTCCCTTCCCTGTTGCAACCAATCTAGGCAACCAGTGCTTAATCTTCCTTCACTTCCAGCTCCTCAAATCACTTACAACTGCATTAGCCCTCCTTACTTTTGATGTGCCCATAGCATCTGTAATGCTAAGATCAGACTGGTCAGTGAAGAGCAGCAAACATTTAAGACAGAAGAATTTACGTACAATAGAAGTTAACAGAGCCAAATACTGGCATCCAGAGTTCTGCTATGCTTACCTCTGCAAAATGGGTGAATGCCTCCAACGCGTGCTGATGAATCAGCCATGTCTGGTCAGCTAGTAGAGAAGCAAACAAACACGACAACTGGGGTATAACTTGCCTCTGAAAGAGGAACAAATATCTATCAGTTCCAAAGAGTTCATTGTGTATGTCTTACCATTGTGATTTATCACTAAAGAATTGCTCTACCGTCAAGGGACAGGTTTGTGAAATGTGACTGTACTGCCCTGTCTAGGAAAAAAAAACAACAAAACAAAAACCCAACACTGAGGGAGGTGACACTCTATTTTCCTCTTTCTTCTTGGAGGATCAAAAGTCAGCCCTTTAACTGGTGAGAAGCAACAAGCAAGTAAATAAACCAAGTATCTTACATGCACTCAGCATGTCTTGATTGAAAATAAAACTGCCACAGACTATTAAAATAAGTCTCCAAGATGATTATGTCCTGGCGCTCCTGTATGTATTCAATGAACTTGATCCTTTAACTTTATATTGAAATAAATAGCATATCTTTTCATCAAAAGGCTGAAAAGTATTTCATTAAGACCACAATTGTATTTACCTGTGCTTCTTGTGGTATAAACACCTTTCCCATAGAAGACAGAAAATCCACCATTGCTAGACGAACATGATCTGGGGGATCCATCTGGAAAAGGGAAGACTGCAGTGCAAACACCTGCAGAAAACAAGCCCCAGCAAAGCTCCATCAAACAGACTGGAGGTGAAAACAGAATTCTGTTATCTTAAATCTGATGACACTGATTTTAGAAAACTGGACTGAAAACAAAAGGAGGTGTGCTACACCTTGAATAAAACTGGCTAGGATAAAGCTGCAGTGTGCATTTTACAATGATCACGCTCTATGGCATATCCATATGTATCTCTATCTTACAGAGTAACAGGAATCTCAAAAGCAGTCAACCAAAGTGCAAAGACCAGGAAAGCAATCAGGGAAGAAATAACATTAGGAACCCTCCATGTCTTAAAAGAAGGCCAGACCCTGAAATAACTTATTTGAGATTTCAGTGAATCACAGAGAACGTGGTTTTCATGAAGTAAATTATTCCTAAGAAGGTTTTGGTTTGTTCTTTACCTGAATAATCAGTTGAGCATCTAATGCTTGGATGAAAAACTCCAAAAGATGAAGTAATAAACACAGTGTCTGCTGGAGACATGGCTCATCTGCGACCTTCAACAGATTACAAGATATTAGTAACATTGCATTTTAGCTCATGGAATAACTACTTAAGAAAGAATATAAAGTTATAGTAGTGTTCCAAAATTCTTTGCCTAACTTCACACGTATAAGCAGCAGAAGAGAATATGAAAAGTCATATCGATATTTGTAGGCAGTCATATTTTACAAGACCCTTTCCTTTGATTTTTATTAAGATCATTTCTTATCCCTCATCTCCTTCCTCCATTCACTAATATAAGCAGCTAAAGGTTATTCAAACTATTTCTTTTCACTTATCAGTTGCCAAATGTCTTTGGCATGAGGTTGGAAGAGACCTCTAAAGGGGCACTTTGTTGGCTCTTCTTCACCCCCACTCTCAAACTCTTCTTTTTAATACAGAGTATGAGCCATGGCAATCCTTTGTTCTTTACTGAAACTGCAGACACAGAGGTATACAGTCGCAAGGGAATTGCCTTGCCCCCTTGTTCTCAAATATGAGAGAAAGGTTACTAGCTCTGTGGGTTTTCATGTGCTAAACTATGTACTAATTAAATCACCATGAGTTTTGTTCACATCCTAATGAACGTTTGAAATAGGCCAAATTTGTAATAGGCATGAATCAGAATGAGGTATTTCAGACTTCTTAACCAAGTCTGAACCTGACACTGAGTAACAGATGGAGTAACAAGGAGCCATATATGTAACATTCAGGAAAGTTCAAACTCTGCTTCCCAGAGCACCACCTGCCTAATACATAAACCAGCTGACAGCAGATTGTGCTTTACAGGTCCAAGTAAAACAGCTTAGTAACAAACACATGATGGAACAGCACCAGCCTCTCAAAGACATTGTGCTTTCATCACTGGAGCAGCAAATTCTCATACCTGCTTAGCCTGGAGAAAAGTCCAGAACTGACCAAGCACTCCCAAGACAGATGCCTGAAGTTCTGACTCCAGAGTGTCACCAGCAAAATTGCAGGCAGACAGCAGAACAGAAAGGGCAGTATTCTAGTAGGAAAAAACATGTAAGACCAAAAAAAGCTACACATAAACCAAACCAAAACCCCGGGCTCATATTAAACATCTAAAATGACACAAGATGGCAAGAAGCCCAGTGCACTATGTCAGCTGTACAGTACAGCTAATCCACCAGGCCACTGGCCAATAAAGCTTCCAGAGCAAGGAAAGCATCCGGTACTTCTGTGAGTTTCACACGGTGCTGCAGTCATTAACTGCATTGGCAGGCAAAAGCTGGCAGCAGATACTTCATATGGAAGTCCCTGGTTTCTCACACTCCTTCACCAAGGAGACCAGTGAGCGTCTTTC